GACACGTCACTAAAAGCAAGAGCCATATCGTCTGCATGAAATTCGGACTTAACCTTTACATTGGAGACTCGAATAGGGTCGAGGTCAATGGTCAAAATGAGATAACAAAAACATATATTTTTTATCAAAAACGTGTCTGAAAATTGTATCAACGAGAGATATATCTAATATACAGGGCGTTCCAACGAAAATTTGACCCCCCCTGCAAGTCAGAAGGACGTGTAATCGAAAATTTCAAAGAACACATCAATTTTTAATTTCTAGGGGGACTAATTCTGATATGGAAATCACACCCGAAACTTTACCCCCCTGCGGCCAGCAACTACCCCCCTAGTTTTTTCAATGGCACTTGGTTCATTCGTTATTGAGAAATTAAATGTTGAACGTTTAATTTAAGGAAAAAGCAGAAAATTCTCTATACCTCATTTTATTGAGCAAATCAACAAAAGTAATATCAATGGCAACACAATCAACGGATAAAGTGTTCAAAATGACCTCCATCTAGTTCCATACAATAAATACCGTCTACTTTTGAAAGAGTTCCTTACATTATTGAAGATGTCCGGAATAAGAAATCGATATTCCCTAACAACTCTCTGTCGCAAGTTTTCTAGATTTGTAAAATTTATTTAATTAGTAGTAAACGTTTTGGAATGGACAACACTGTTAGTTTTTTCTACACTGGTAGTTTTTGTTTAATCTAGCTGTCGCAGAACATAGTCACTAATTATTATTCAGTCATCCTTGTTCAGTGTGTTCCAACATGGTTTATTCTACTGAAGAAAGAATAGAAATTGTTGCAACCTATTATCGAAATAATAAATATACTAAAGCTGCTGCAAGCATTTATAATACGAATCATCCAGACCATGCGTGAGCCATCAATACTTCAAACAGTTAATGGATAAATATCGAACTTCAGGTTCTGTTCACAACAGAAAACATAAAGTATCCCGCCCTGTCAGAAATGACTGAGTTGAAGTTGCTGTTTTAGGACATATACAAATGGATAATCGGCAATCTATCAGACAAGTAGTTAGAGCGTCTGGTGTATCAGCAACTAGTATTTTTCGGATTATGAAAGCCTACAAAGTTCATCCTTTCAAAATGAGGCTAGTTCAGGAATTAAACGAAGATGATCCTGATCGTTGAGTTCAGTTTTGTGAGGTGTTTAGCGAAAAATTGACCAATAATCCAAACCTATTATACAATACATGTTTTTCAGGCGAAAGTTCTTTCACGTTAAATGGTGAAGTGAAGAGATATAATTGTTGTTACTGGAGCGATGTAAATCCTCATTTGGTGATGGAAACACATTCACAAACTCTACAATAATGTCTGCGCCGGCATTCTTGGTAATCATATTGTTGGACCATTTTTCATTGAAGGTAATCTCAATGTAGACATACTTAAATCTATTACAAGACTGTTTAGATCCTATGATTACACAAATTTTAGAAAATGATGACAATTTAATAGAAAATGAAATAACATTCCAGCAGGATGGTGCACCCCTACATTTTAATGTTCCGGTGAGACAGATTTTGAACGAACGTTTTCCAATGCGTTGGATCGGCAGAAGAGGTCCAGTGGAGTGGCCAGCTAGATCACCTGATCTCACACCGATAGATTTCTTTCTGTGGAGACACCTGAAGTCGAAAGTGTACTCTACTAAGCCTACACATCTAGAAGACCTGGGACAGAGAATGCCGATTGCTGACTCCGGACATCTTGAATAATGTACGGGACGCTTTCGGAAGTATACTTTATTATTGTATGGAACTAGGTGGAGGTCATTTTGAATAATTTATCTGTTGTTTCCACTGATATTNGGGGGGTGAAGTTTCGGGTATGATTTTCATATCAGAATTAGTCCCCCTAGAAATAAAAGTTGACGTGTTCTTTGAAATTTCCGATTACACGTCCGTTTCTGACTTACAGGGAGGGTAAAGTTTTCTTTGGAACGCCCTGTATATTCCTTTCAAATAATGTATCACTCGACCCCCCATGCCATTGAAAAAAATAGGGGGGGGTAGCTGCTGACCGCAGGGAGGTGAAGTTTCGGGTATGATCTCCATATCAGAATTAATCCCCCTAGAAATAAAAATTGACGTGTTCTTTGAAGTTTTCGTTTACACGTCTGTTTGTGTCCCACAGGGGGGTCGAGTTTTCGTTGGAACGCCCTGTATAAAATTCTAGTGTCACAGTGTTAGTTGCCAAACTCCTCGAAACCGATTCACAGAAAATTTCATATTTATATTCGGTAGGTCTGAGAATAAGTTTGAATATATTTTTCATAACTCTAAGTGATAAAGGTGTTGCACCACAAACTTTTTTTTCAATTTTTTTGACAACATTTTTTGTTTTTACTTTTTTATGATGTGCCATTGAAAAGTACATATAACCTCCAATTTTTGCCCTTCTATCACCAACCTCCATTTTTCAATAGCCATTTTAGTAATTCAATCATTTTTAACCCTGATCATAGATCAGTTATTCCCGCCAGGCATCTACGGGTGTCACTTCTTACTCAGTAAACAAAAAGGACTAGCAAGAACGAAGCCGACTCCCTACAGTTTTTCGCCACTATTATTGTTTATCAATTGAGCGTAGATTCAGTTTGCAATGCCACCGAAGCTGTGAATACTCCAAGAATTTTTGAACTGATTGGATTTGCCAGGCATACCACCAAATAGTTTACAACTGAAGGTTGGATCGCTCCGTAATTTGAATCCACCACGGCTGTACAACTGCACACGATTAGTCAGTGAAAAATTAATGAAAGCGTTGCCGAAGCCAGCATTTTGAATGGCAAGTTCCGAGTTGAAACTATATTGAAACCACGAATCCCTATTATACTTCATGTACTGACGATGACAACTTGGTTGGTAAAACGCGCATGGAGAAAGTGTTGCAGGTTTGGTGTTTGCTTGTTTTGGATTTAATCTAGGCCAGAATTTTTAGTTTCACATATTTTGATTTGAAAAATAATATGCCACAATCATCTAGTATCTATATTTTTAATTCAGTCATGCACTGTTTTCGAAATATGGCCAGGTAAATGGCTTTTTTCCGCAGCAAAAACATTAATCAATTCTATCCCACTTCTAGAAACAATAATAAGCGTCATGGGAAGTTGACATACTTTGGTGAACACACCAATAGAATTGCCCGTTTTTTGAGAAGGACAGATTTCGACATGCTTATTGAAAAACTGGATGAAATTTACATGTTTCCTGAAAACCAACTTTATAAAGAAAAGACAGGTAATAATAAACCACTTTATGAAATTGAAACAAAATCAAATGGAAGAATTACTTTATCTCAGCAAAATTCGAAACGTCCGGTAATGACTCCTTCAGTCAAAACCCTTGGGCTAAATGGGTTGAAAAATATTGGCAAAACCTGTTTCACGAACAGCGTAATCCAATGTTGATCAAAACGAGATGGTTATTGGAATATTTCAAAAAGTATGAATTCATAAAAGATATCAATACTAGTATGTCTAGTATGGAGAATGCTTTAATTAAAGCGTTTGCAGAAGTCATTAAGGAATTGTGGTCAGAAGATTCATTTCATAGAGTAGAAAATAAAGTTTCCTTAAAAAATCAGATTTAAAATTTTGCTCCTCGATTCATGGATAATGCCCATCAAGGCGCCCAAGAGTTCCTTCGTTATCTTTTAGGTTTACGTATTAATATTAATAATAAACCTAAACTGATCTTCATGCTCCTGTTTGATATTTATATTCAAATGTGTATTTGTGAACTTGATAAGTTGAATGCATATTATTTCATTATAGTCATCTACATTCCTATGTCTAAATTGAGCAAATTAAGCAAATTAAGCAAAATGTTTTAAATTAAATCTTTTACAATGCAAAAAATATCGAAAATTCTGAAAATTAACTGAATGACCAAATTGAATTGAACTCCGTCCTAATCTAACGTCGTGTTAGGAGTCATACGTTTAAAGGTAAGATCTCATTAATCCTTAGCTCGCATAAGTTTCAACTTCTGAGGGTTGTCGTTCGTAGGGGTGCGACAGCTGGTTAACGGTAAAACAGATTTTTTTTCATCACCATTAAACGAATGAAAATTTCCTTTAGCGATATTTAATACGTTTTACGGAGCTTTTCAGCTAAACTCATGAAAAATTATTAGTCATTAAAATGTTTCCCATTCATTTACATTAAATATGTTGAGTTGAATTTGAGTATCATCAATTTATATTTGTTTTATTCCGTGAATCTTCATTATACAATCTTGAGTAATAAAATTGGATTGCCTCTACTGAATTATCTGAAATGCAGTTTTTCATGTTATTAGGATGTAACTTGTTAAAAATGATAGATATAAACAGAAATAGATCAGAAAATATTGTAAACAATATTTTATAAATTTTTTTCAAACAATTTTTAAATAAATTTCATTAAACGGGATTTTATCAATTTTTTACGAATATCTATTATTACATATAAAAACTTGTGAATGACTGTTTAATAACATTTTGTGTAGGTATTCGAACACATAATTTCAAACCATTAATGATGGTCATGTGAACTTAATAGCATATATTCACCTGTTTTAATTTTTACATTTCCAATGAGAAAGTATTGTTTGAAAAACGTTTTTCTAGATAAATAAATTTAAGCAATAAGAATAATCATTTTGCCCGTTCGGTGAGATTTCTGATTATAAACAAAACAAAAAAAAATTAAATATCAAAACTGAAGCTGTTCTCTTCCAAAAAATGTTTATGTGTGCATCGATTGAAAAAGAGATGTAATGATTTTAAAACACACTGATACAAAAGACAAAATATTTTTGAAAGATAATCTCTAGTAAACGTTATTGTAATTTCGGTAGCGCACGTGTAGTAAGATCAGCTCTTCGCTTATATTTGCTAGATTTGTACAACAATACATAGTTAGTTGTAAAATGACTAAAAATAGAATATATAATGTGCGCCTTTTATTCGAAATGTTCAACGTAAATTACCTGCTTTCCCAGCCGCATTCGTTACATTTCTTCTCTGGAGATCGTCGTGGAGTTCAGAGTAAATCACACCGTAAGAATTAATCACACCGAACAATATCCCATTGCAGAAAAACGATCCTAACATCACTATCCATGCTCTGGAGCCACCGTCCGACGGCGGAGTGTACTTTTCATTTTCCTTTACTTCGGCAGTTCCATTTTGTTGATTTTTCAGGTTGACATCGATTTTTTGTGTGACTACCAAGTTAGTTTCGACGTCTTCAGTCATTTCTTAACCTCACTTATAGTACTCGTTTCATTACACGTTTTTTATTATTGGAATGTGAGGACCACGTGTACAATCAGCTGGAGCTGCTTCGATTAAACTGCCTTTCGTTCGGATGCAATCCGTCGTGAGAACTGCCAGGCGACCGACAAACCGCTGTCTCACTGGCGCTAGCGCTTAGGCACTCTAGGCAGGCGCTAGTTCTGTGCGTTTGCGTTCATGTTCAAGGGTGCGTAGATGGATCGTCGGGACTATGCTACAATACAAACGGTGTTGCCAAGTAATCAGAGATTCAGACAATTTCAATATTTCATAACTCAAATATTGAACAAAAGTAATTTTTGATATAAATTTATAGATCTTTCCAATTGTCGCCTTCACCAATCTGAAAAAAATTAAAATTATAATTGAGAATTTTATAAAAGAGTAGAAAAAACAAACTTCTAGTTCGCCCCGAAAAGTTACTGGATAAATTCAGTGTACACATATTAGCAAAAGTTTTGGATCCCCTCGTAAATTGTACATGTCATCTTTATTTCTTCACCTGTACTAGGTATGCACAAATGTTAACAAAACAATTTCCTCTAATTTTAGATACCTACCAATGTTTAAAAAGTGGTTCATATCGATTTAGCGTGTTTAAGTGATTATTGACTTCTTCTTTGTAATCATGCCTGGCAATAGAATTTTAGTGTTCCATAGAGCAAGAATAGTGGCTTTGCATGATGAGGGTATGTCGAATCATCAAATCGCGGATGGACTAAGGATTCCTTGCACTTCAGTTATCCGAATATTGCATTTGAACCAGGAAACTAACAGCGTTGGAGCCGTGGAACTGGGCATCCTAGGATAACTTATGCAAGAGAAGATCGGTATCTAGCAGGATATGTACCTACGTCGGAATCGAACCATAACAGTCTCAGTTTGGTCGATTAATTTCCAGTACCACAATACGGCGGAGACTTGCTAGAGCCAATACAACATCCCAATGGATACCATTAACGCCCTTATTATGTCCATGCACAGGCGAGTTAACACTTTACTACAGAACAGGGGAGGTCAAACCGAATATTAATGAATTTTTGATTTCGCTCTAAAATATTTTTCAGATTCTGGTAATCATTTTATCATATAACGGAAAGTGCGTTGCATTACGACTTCTCGCTTGCGTTATTGTCAAGATAACTGTGAGAGATATTGCTGATTAATGACTTCACTTTTATCATGACACGCCAATTATGTATTTGCACAAAATCACAAATGTCATAACTTCAATTGTATTTGCGCGCACCATGCCATCTGTCATAACCTAACAAGTCAAATTCTTTGTCAATTTGTTCAATCTAAATTTTGTCTTGGTTTTTCAAATGTTTTAATATTTGTGGTATCTGGTATCTGTAGAGTAGGGAGGTTGAGTCCAGGCTCACAACACTTAGGCCACATGTAACCCATTGTACATCCTCCCGAGGAGTTGTCCTCCTAGGTCATCGTTCATCCTGTCGTTCCCAGGAAGGTGAACAGGTTACTAGGAGACATCTCCTTTATATTGGCAGGTATAGGCCAAGACTCGCCGAACACACTCTCTTTGGCAACCTTGAGATGTCTCACGGTGATCTCCGCGAAGGTTTTGGAAGGTGCAGCAATATTGCTGCCATTGCGCGGCTTCTTCAACCTTCTTGGGGTTTCCTCCGTGGAGGTGCACAAGTGAAGGAGCTTTCCTACAGGAGCAGCCGGTTCCTTGCCTTTATTAGATAGATAGATAGATACATTTATTTGACAACTTTACACTTGAATGTTTGTTGCAAGGCAGTTAAAATATAAATAGAAAAAGAAAAAAAAACTAGTCACAAGTTAAAAATATTGAATCATAAATTGTGAATAAAATGAAAGATAATTTTGAACATTACATCTCCAGTTTTCCAGGAGAATAGTTCTGACTCTGTTTTGAAGGAGCTTTGAAAAGCGGCTTACAGTGATCTCGTTAATAGACATTCATCAATATTCTGACTGATTTTTTCTCAAATCTGAAGATTTTAATGGAGTGAGAGGAATTACCCCACAAAACTATGCCATAATTCATATGGGAGTGAAACAAAGTAAAATATGAACTTCTCAGGGCGTCAAGAGACAATACTCTATTTAGCTGTTGAAAAGTAAATATACTCTTACACAACTTCTTACTCAGTTCATCAATGTGTGCATACCATGATAAATTCCGGTCAAGAGTGAGTCCTCGTAGTTTGGCAGTGTCATCGCCATTTTCCGTAGTTTCAGTATTTGAGGTCGTAAACCTTCTGGGCCTTNGCGGTATATTGGGATGGACATTTCTGTTCATCCCCAGCCATCGCCTTAGATTGAGGTGAGCACTTCTGTCCAGCCTCGGAATATAGTTTTCGTTTTTGTTGTTCCTGTTTTTGTGTTGTTTCATTCATGTGTGTTCCCACGAGTAGCAAGGGAACAGTTGGTCACCTCTGGCAGAGCCCCGCATTACCAGAGATAGGCGAGATTTCGCCCAGTTTCCCAAGGGATCGTTCGACACCGCATATAACCCTGCGTAGCACACACACCGATTTTGGACGGTCTATTTTATACCGGTCGTCCAAATTCCAATAGTGAACCACATGTAGGAACGGGACCTGGTACACACGCCGACCGGTGATCGACGCCGATAAAATACCGGTGAGCAGCCGTCCACTGCCACTGCATCGCCGGCAGTACCGGTAAGTAGTGGCGTACGTGACTAAATACACTCTTGCATACTCTCCGGTTTTTTACCGACCATTCCAGTCTCGACTACTCGGTCAAATTGTAGTTACTACGTATTAACTTAGTTTTGGTAGTGTGTGCTGATTACGATTTCAATGGGTGACCGGTAAAAATCCGGTGAGTCTACAAGCATCCGCAAAAATACCGGCCGATTTTATACTGGCCATCCAAAATCGGTGTGTGTGCAATTAGCGTTGCTTGGGTAGGCTGATCCACGATGGCCTTTTTTTGCAAAGGCTTTTGGGGGGTTTTAGGTAGCCCAACCCACGGGTTTTTTAATAGTTATTCTGTTATTTGGGTCCAGCCGTTCTTGAATTATGAATGGTATAACTAACACGACTTGCGTCTCAAATATTTTACAGCCAAAGACTCGCTAAGTGCTGTTTGAAAACTTTATGGGGATTGTTTATACAGTAAGTGAAAAATTAAATCGAGATCATCTTCACTAGGGCGACCTTTGAAGTTTTCTAATCTACTTACTGTTTGTTGATTGAGTAATGTCGATCCGAATACTTATCAATAGATAAAATGAGCTTGTTTTTGTATCTGGAGCTCAGGGTATACAAATACGTCTTTTAGAAGGTGACAAATATTTAATTTGTCGTATGTCTGTCTGTTTGTTGTTAATTTAGAACTGAATGAGATTTATGCTCAGACCCCTACTGAATATGAAGTGAAAAATAGTATTTGGAGTAACATTTCGCCAAAAGTCAACTTGTACAAACTTATATATCTGCTAAATCGATTCGAATTGAAAAAAGCTTGGAATATCTTCGTGTGATTGGTTTTCCCGATTAGTTGTTTTCTAAAAAATCAGGAATTTAACAAATACCAAGAGCGGTATATATCAGAAATACGCGACGGACTGTGGCTGCTCATCATTTGAGATTCAACTTCACTGTTTAAGAACATCACTGGAGAACTGCGTTTATGTGAAATAAACTTTCTGTGAACATTTTTCGAAATTAATTTAATCTCCAGCGATTCGAGTCTAACATGAATCACTATTTTCCCACACGCTCTGCTTTTAAAGCACCTTAAGGATGTTCCTGTAGCTGTGTTTTGCCTTAAAAAAACCTTTCTTTCATAATTGCTTTTTTTTATTTCCAAACACAATCTGTATATAATATTTTTGAATTCTCCCCAATACTTTGTCGATATTTTCTACAAGAATCATTCACACTAAGAACAAAAAAAATATTTTACCAATAACTCCGAAAACTCTGAAAATATAGATGAATATAGAAATAAAAATCTTTCAAATGCCTCCTTTGCTACAAAAAAACCGTAGATGGTTGAGAAAATATTGACGGAAAGCTGGGAAGTTTTAGTTGTCTCTATATTTTACTGCACTTCGCTGACGAGGCCAATATCCAGAAACACATGTCAACATTATTATTATCGTGAAAATTCACTATTGAGGAATAAACCTCTAAAAGAAAATGGTAAAGGTGATATAATTGAATATAGAATACAGTACGAAAAAAGACTTTTAATTCAGAATCTTAAAACTAAACAAATACAAAAAATTAACAAGTAAGACTTATGTGATTAATATGACTTGTGGAGCTGGTGCTTACGATTTATAAGAGATTCTATATCTGGGTTGGAAGTTGAAAGCTTAAAACGCAGGTCACTTTCCACACAAAGCCTATTTCTATATTGATTTTTGAAATATATCGAAGTGAAGAATGCCTTCTCATACAAATATGTGGTTCAAAACTCCATCAGCCCTTTTAAGGCTATGTTTTCGCGACCCACCCAAATTTCTCCTCCGACTCACCAGTGGGTAGCGACCCATAGTTTGGAAAACACTGGTCTAAATGGTTAAAACATTTAAAACTGAAGTCATTTCCGTTGGAACCGAAAACAAATCAATTAATTTCAGTACTTTTATAAATGTTGTCTCTACTATTTTTATTCACCAGAAAACATTAGAAACACAAATGTTATGTTTCATAAAAATTGGTTTTTGAACAGTTCTTTCATTGTTATTGATAATCTCTTGAATATAAAGAATTCACATTTTCAAAAGATGTGTGAAGTTAATGTACCTATCTTTGAGTTCTAATATATATCATTCGAAATTGAGGTGGTAGAGCCAAAAAACGAAATTCGACAATTTTAGTTTTTTGCGAATATTTAAAAAAAAAACTACTAATTTTCTCAATCTGAAAAGAAATTGAAGAATATTACTGGAGTTTTATCCCAACACCAAACTTAAATTGGAATGTACAGTGTATATCAAACAAAATTAATTTTATTGAGCAACTGATGAATGACTGAAGGCAACCTTTCTCTGTCTCAGTGAACATTGGGCAGATAAAAAGCAATACATCGAAATTGAAGGCTATCAAGTGGTCAGTAAATTCTGTAGAAGTACCCATAAGCATGGAGGAACGGTTATTCTAGTAAAAAATGAGGTTTTTAGACAA